AAAAAAAAAATCAGACTGTGCTATTTCTTAATGTTCCGTGTATAGAATAAAATATACTCCATTTTACACTTTCCCCTTTTCCCTTCATGTAGTTGTAGTTCAGTGCTTACCTTATCCCTCACTTGAATTAACTTTAGGTTTCTTGTTGCTTGGAGTTGGCTTAAAGGACTTTATAATTCTGTGCAAAAGAATTTTGTCTTAAATTGACATTACAAAGTACTCTTGCACAACTAAATCCAAACATCTGGTTTTGAATCTGACCAAAAAAAAGCCTTCCAACACTTGGCTTTCTTTTCCTCCCAGCAGATTGAAACTGTGATAGCACTCGGATTATTTAGAGCCAGGGAATCAAGTTTCAGTGAATTGGAATACCAAATTTATTACTATTTACACTGTTCTCAGTATTTATAAATTCAAAAATCTAAACATTGCCAGGATTTTATATGAGTTATTATAGTCAAATTTAAAGGAGTAATTTGCCTTTAATAATGTTTGCAAATACCCTTAATGCCTTGATCACTGTGCCTTTCTTACATGGCGGGGAGGGGGCAGTAGGCAGGATTTATGTTTTGGAAATAAGAAACACTGTGAAATAGAGCATGACAGGAACAATGGGAAAAGGGCTGTAACCAAGAGATGTATTTAGGTTTGCTGAATATCTCTGTGTCTAAGCAGTAGTTTGAGCATTTGTAAATCGAAGCTGTAGGGACTTGTAAGAAGACCACGTGCTGGTGCCTGTAAGGGTGCATGTGTTGAAAGAATTTAAGCTGAGCTGACACTATACAGGTAAACAAAATGCCGACATTGGTAAGAACTGTCTATGATCCTATCAGGAATCAGCTGAATTTTGTAGAAGAAATTAGAGTAAGTTATTTTATATAAAATCTACTTCATTAGTAACATCCTTCATTGGACACATCCTTAGTATTTTAACCTGAAAGAGAGGAAGGGGTCAACCACAATTACATCACATCACATCACTGCTAAATATTTTTCTCCCCATCCATTGATTTTTCAGTTCTTAGAGATTGAATTGCTACAGATTTGGTGGGGAAAAAAAGTACATCTTTGTATTTTTCTCCATTTAGCTTTCTCTCTCTGTTTACCTATACATAAATAATATTTACAATGAATGCTATCTTAAAAATTTTTGATACCGTACTGTGAGAACTTTTAAACATTAACAGATTGTATTTGGAGATCACTTTGACTTCTCTGTATTTGTCTGAATTATATTAAATTGTGGCCTATTAGATGAACTTTAGTATTTTTAAAGAGTATTCAAAAATATTTTTGCAAATTTACCATTCAGTAGTGCAACCTGAAATAACTGCCTTTATATCAAGTTTAACCAAGTTAGATGCAGTGTCTGTATTGTCAATGATTAGCCTAAAGGCAAATTACCTTTTTGCATGTACAATTTTTAAAACTCTATGTAATAAAGAGTCCTTTGAGCACAACTCTTGACTTCTAGCAGAGTGGAAATTGCATATAAAATGCATGGCCTCTCAATTTTTTTTCTTTGTTTAAACCTTCCCTTATTTGGACTTACTTGCTAAAGGCATCTCAGTGTCTCACTGCCTAGGAGCTGATCTTAGTGAAGGCTGTTTTTCTCCCCATTCTTTCATGCAGGTCAGCACACAGAATATGAAGATGGGTGGGCTGCCTCGTACAACACCACCCACCCAGAAGCCACCGAGTCCACCAATGTCAGGAAAAGGAACTATTGGGTAAGTGCAGTTACCGAACACTTAAATAGCTTTTGTGAACTTCACTTTTGTGAAGAGAAAAAAAGGAAGATTCTTTTTCTGTTGGTTTTCTTTGTATGTTAACCATTGGTTTTGTTTTTACCATTGACAAAGGTCAAGAGGTATTGTATCCACATCCTCTTATACTAATCGTATCCCATATATCAGTTAGCACGTTTCTGCCAGACAACAGTGGGCCTCATCAGTCTTTCCCAACAGGAACCTTTTTATCGTTGCAGAACATTTGCAACTACATGCTTTAGAGTAAAAAGTCATTAACTGTGTGACTTTGACAGGTGGTGCTAAACAACTGGAAAATTAGTATGTGGCACTGTTCATTAATTATTTGTGCTGTGTGTGATAAATGTACTTCCCTGTTAAGTCTATGAACTTGACTTTGACCTTAAGGAAGATGTGTTATAACTGAGATGAATTCTGTTTGTTGGTATGTGATTATGAATATATGTTTTTAAACAAGATAAAGATTACTTCTAAAACAAGAATGGAAAGTGCAACACAGAGTTTGTTAATAGGAAGATTGAAGTACATGAAAAACATCCTTACTTGTTTTTTCTCGTCCTACGAAGTAGAAACTGCAAACTTACAGAAAAACTTTATTTTCCTTTTTTTGGGCTCTCATTACTGGTTAGTATGTAGCTGTCTTTTAAAGAATGAAAAATCACTGGTCTTGTCTGTATTATCTTAATTTGCTTCTGAAACATGCTTGTCCTCGTGTAGGCGTCACTCTCCTTATCGTACGTTGGAGCCAGTACGTCCTCCGGTGGTACCAAATGACTACGTGCCTAGCCCAACACGCAATATGGCTCCCTCACAACAGAGCCCTGTTAGAACAGCTTCTGTGAATCAGAGGAATCGCACATACAGGTATTCAGTATAATCCTGTACAAAGTATGGTTAGTATTGTATAAGCATATGTACAAAAAATGCTCTTATAAATATCAAATCCAGCTGCACCTGTACAGTGAAGCTTGCTAATTCATCATACGGACTGGGAGCATCATTTGGCATGCCAAGAATGCACTCTAATAAAACTAGAACAGTGAATCACGCTAAGAGGGTTCACTTCATCCCCTAGTCACCTTGATTTTAGTGCTATCACTTAAGTTACGGTACTTAATGAATTGCTAAAACTGTGAAGTCTTTCCAGTATGCTTATAGTTCACATTTTTGTTTGAAGTCTTTGATGTTTATAGACTGCATAGCTGAAAAAGAGCATTGCATTTTGAGGATACTGATAACCTCAAAATAATAACAGAATAAAGCTGAACTTCAACATAATAACAGAATATAGCTGAACTGTATTGTTAAAGGTGGTGCGAAAGGCTGGCCTTTTCTCTAGGATAATAAGAGTTTCGTGGTGCGACTAGTCTAAATACTTCCCTTGAAATTTTTACTTTTTAAACATCATAAATAATTAAGGGTGGCTAAACAGATGGGCTTAAAATATAAGGAAATCTGAGCTTTACTGGCCAAAATTTCCATATTTCAGTAGTCTCATATGAAAGCATATCAATCAGAGTAAACAGTCTATGCATTTTATAAGTTGTAGGAGAAGGGGCTGTATTTTCTTAGTAGGAGTTTAACAATCCTGGAAAGAAGCGGTTTGGAGCAAGGTTCCGGAAGTGTTTCTTTTTTGGATAAGTTCAAAAATACTAAGTGAAAAACCTGTTGTGTCGTAGTCAACACAAAGAGTTTTAGGAAAACTAAGCTTTATATAGGTTTGTATTATCCTTGTATCTTTTCTCGTGTTCCCTGCTACTTGTCTGAATTAGTAAAGGTGCTGTATGAGGGGTCTTATGTTTCTGCATGCAGAGTAGCACATCCATGCCCTGTGATATTTTGGTTTCTTACAGCAGCAGTGGGAGTAGTGGAGGAAGCCACCCAAGTAGTCGGAGCAGCAGTCGAGAGAACAGTGGAAGCGGAAGTGTGGGTGTTCCTATTGCTGTTCCCACGCCATCTCCTCCCAGTGTCTACCCAGGTAAATGGACACTTGCTGGCCCCCTTTCTGACTCAGCATTAACCTTCAGCATTTGCAAGTCTCCTAAACCCCAAGGGAAGTCCAGAAACATGCAAGCCTTGAAAATTGCTTGCTGTTGATAATATGAGTTTGGATCAAGTAGTGTCTTTTCTGGGAGTGTCTGATGTGCTCTAATGCTTCTTTTATGTATTAATTTATTTATCAGAATCTTTTGCCTGACTGCCTGCATGGGACTGGGTGTGGTACAGCACCCTTTTCTGTGGGCTGGGGGAGAATTTCCCCTTGTCCTTTTAAGTAAATAAAAGTTTTTTCATTGCTTATTCATGCAGATACACAGAAGCACATTTTTAGAAAATCAGATGAAATGAGAGGCAGGCACAGAGCGAATCTTTAGTGTACTAATCCAAGCCTGACTTGTCAAAAAAAGACACTTGTTCAATGTAATCGCCTCAGTCCTTCCAGAAATAGGAAGTGATATTAGTACTCCTTTTTCATTTGCTCAGTCCTTTCAGTGGAGTGTATAGTTGGCTTGTAGTTTGACCTGAATTACATGATGCTTCAGAACTAAAGAACTGGAAAGTTTTGGCTTTCCTCCTCTCTGCATTTGCTAATCTGTACAAAAGCTAAAGGCAGTGGTGCTACAATTTGAAGCATAAATAACAAGGTGTAAAGACATCTTTCAAAAGTAATAGCTTTCAGTGGAAAGTTCTGGGTTGCTCCCTTCACACCTGAAAAGAAGTGGATGTGCTTGACTCTCATTTACTGTGTACATAGGAATGAGCCTTTCTTTAACAGTTCCATTTTTCTCTCATCTCCTCATGCATTCTAAAATACTATGCATCTAATAAGTAGCTAACACTGAGTAGTCGAAGGCTTTCTCTAATCCTTGCTAACATATCTCCTTATTAACTCCACCTCTTCCTCCTCTCTTCACTCAGCCCCTGCTGGCTCGGCTGGCACTTCTCCCCTCCCTCCTACCTCTGCTCCTGCCCCCACTCCTCCTGCTCCTGCCCCTTCCTCTGCTGCCCCAGACACTGCTGCTGCTGGAGCTCAGCCCCTTGCTGATGGCTTCACCTCTCCAACCCCTCCTGCTGTTTCTTCCACACCCTCTACAGGTGAGTGTCTGCTGCAGCTGCTGGGCAGGTGAACCCAGATATGGTCACGATCCAAGGCTTTTCAAAGTTACTTCAGAAGCAGTGATAAGCAATGATTTTTCTAAATTATTTTTTAAAAATGTAACTAGAAGATATCTGCTAATACACAACTATAAGGTAATGGTTATAGTAGACAATTCAAGGTGTGCTAGTTCTATAAGCAACAGTAATTTTGTACTTTTATATTTTTTACATTTATATGATTATTTATAGCATTATTTTATTGCAGTTTGGTTACTGAGAATCTCATAGAATAATTATGTTTGGGGGAACCAGCACTGTTAGTTCTGGATCTGATTATTCTTTCTGAGGTGTAAAATGTTTTCTTGTTTAGAAGATGAATTGTCATATGGGGCCTCAATTAGTTTTCCATTTCTGATGCACTGTCAGTATCCCAGTTCCTTCATTCCAATCACCACCAATTTCTACCAGTGCATTAAGTAACAGGGAGACAGACACACTGGAAAAATACATTAGGAAAAATGTGAAAAAGCCTATCTACTAGATGGATTGCTTCTTAATGTTCTTCTTCCTCATTTGTAAAAAGTGCATTTTTTGGAATGTGTGTGTCTGTACAAAGCAGGAGAATCGTGAATCTTTAGTTCATACACTTGCTTTTAGAAGCAAGTAGCAGAGCAAGCAGCTTGTGTTTTATTTACTGACCTAGTGTGAAGTTTTGCAAAGCAATCAAAACATAGTGGAGAGCAATGTAGGCTTTAAAAACTTGCATATTTGTTCTGTTTCCCTGTTTACTTTCCTACATGCTTGTCTCCTCAACCACAGTGACCATCTCTTCTTCCCTTCTTGCAAACTCAGAAAACTACCTCTAGCACACATTGTGGAGGCAGAATAGTTAGGAGGGGTAATAACTCGTGTGGGTATAGAAAATCCAGTTTACTGTTATAAACAGTATATAAACCAGAGAACTTGATGTGAGCACAGAAGCTTAATGGTCTTGCTTTATTTATTGCATGCTTAGATTAGGATCAATTACTTTGATATAGGAAATGATTTAAATAGAGAGCAGTTTTTTAAGGAGTTTTTTCATTTGACAGCTCCCTGAAAGAGGATGTTTGAGTATGGTTTCATTTATTCCATTCTTCAAGCAGTTTCTAATGTTTTCTTCTCCCAGAGTGATCCTCTGCAAATTTCCTGAACAGCACTAAGGTAGTTAGTATTGTGGTTTTCAGTCGTAGAAGGTAACAGCTTTGAATCTTGGAAATTGCATACAGTTAGTTTGTATGTGTATGTTGCTTAATTGCTGGACTGTGAAGTGTTATTATACATTATATAAAATGGATAATTGGGAATTACTTTCTTTTGTTTTGAAGCTTTGTAACTTAGACACCTTTATATTTTTCTCCTGGCTTTTGTGAGCAGTATTGAGTACAGACAGTTGAGAGAGTTGCTTCTTGTGTTGCTATTGAGACAGCCAGCCCCCTGCCACTCTGGCCACTGAGCTGGCTGTCTGCTCCTAGGGTGCAGACTGCCTTAAAAAAACCCAAAAACCTTCCCAAGCCTTTGAATCTTGAATGCAGGTATAAAAAATGCAGCTTTTTTTCTTTTCTTGCTAATACATTTCTGTTTCTAACTTAGGTCACCCAGTTCAGTTCTACAGCATGAACAGGCCTGCATCTCGACACACCCCCCCAACAATAGGAGGATCTTTGCCATATCGTCGTCCTCCTTCGATCACATCCCAGACGAGCCTTCAGAACCAGATGAACGGAGGACCGTTTTATAACCAGAACCCAGGTAAGAAAGGTTTTCTGCTCTGTTGAATTCAACATAGCAGTGAATGGAGCAGCCTTCGCATCTCTGAAATCTCGTGTTCTGTCTCCATTGCAGATCTTGCAGTTAGTCTCGGGCAACTTCCAGTACGTTGCTGATAGCCATGCCAAAGCTGCAGTCCAATTACAGAGAGTTCAGCTTCCATTGTAGCAAGCAGGTTAAAGCCGTGTTATCAGATAAATTACTTTTGATCTCACAATCCATATTAGACAAATCCTTTACTATGCTGTATGTCATGTATCTGCTTTGGTGTGGGACAAGTATTGGATTTTGCACCAGACCACTGATTCTTCATTAATCACTCTTTATCTTGTATGCTTTTTCCTCATGATTAAGAACAGTTCAAGAAATTGCACTTGTTATACAAGGTAAGCATTAGACACCTTAGAGACATCAGTGGTGTTCGGTATGGCATGCAAGGGAGGTGTGATATCTCCTAAGTCCACAGGTGATGATATTTTAATGGACAACCTGCCTTAAAAAGCAGGATGAGGCAATAACAAGGAATGGCGTGTCCTGTGCATCAGGCCAGACCTAGTAGCTTTTTATCTAAGAAGTCCTTTTCCCTCCCATATGCTTCTGATGCAACATGAAAGTTTTGTTACCAGAGTAGAAGAGACCTTCTTTTTTGACAAAGGTAAAGAGCGATGCAGAGGACAATATTGAAGGTTAGGAAATGCCCAATTACCAGCAAGATTGAATGTTGACTTGAGATCATTACAGCGCATTTGTGTTTTATGGGTTTTTGTGGTGTTTTTTTAAAATTGAGCATTGAACTTGGAATTGGGTCAAATGCTGCAATCTGCATTTAAGGGATTTGATCAAGTTAAAATATTATTGCTGGTGATCTACCCTGCGAAGAAATGCATGTGCTGAACTTAAGAAGGAAATGGGTGGTCCTACTGGCAACAGGGGCTGGAGGAGGTTGTATGACTAAATTGCAACTCAGTTGCCTGAGATATATGGTATTTGTTAAGCACATTATGCACATCCTGAAGGTTGAAGGGAAATGGGCGAGAAGGAAAGGTAGCAATAAAAGAAACCTTTCAGGATTATCTTTGCAGTAAAGAGGAGTTTCAGAATGTCCAGAAAGTTTCTGACAGCTGCTGTGCATTTCTGTTTCAGCAAAGAGATAATTCAGTTGCAAGCTACCATCGCATTGTTAATAGGTAATCATAGAAGATGCCAAATAGACTTTTAAGTTTCATAACCACAATTCAGTCTGTGTACCCAAAGAGAAGGTAATGATTATGGTGATTAGTCACTTGAGCTGTAAATCACAAAGTACTTCAATTATACTGACATACTTGATACAACATAAATAAGCAGTTGTAGTAAGAGACTTTTTTTATATACCTAGCAGAATGCAGAATTTATTAGCTTTGCAGTTACACTAACCTAAGTTTTTTTAGCCTGTACCTTGAGAGGATGCTCAAGCATCCATAATTGATGAAGACCTTAAGAACAGAGAGGCTGTTGTGTGTGTAAGGAACAGAGTTAGTAGTGACAGGACAGGGGCCACAATTGCTTCTCAGCCTTCCTGAAGAGGGGAAGAAAATGCAAACTTAAGAGGTGAAAAAGAGACCTTGGAACAGGCAGAAGAGCATGCCAACTATGGCTTGCTCTTCTGTGCAGGCTGTTTGACAGTAAAACAGAACTGTGTTTTCCACTTCTGATTCTTAGAATGTTGGCATAGTCACTTTTGTTCATTTACTTCACAGGAGGATACTTGCTTTGCCCTGTTCTTTTGAATGGCACTTCTCAGATAATACAATTTCTCTACTTCCTCATGAGACCTTTTTAACAACTGAAAAGAAAATATTAAGAAATGCTGACACTAAATGATCTCAACATGTATCTGTCCCAGTGCCACTCTTCTCAGCCATGCCACCTAACGTGTTACAGCTTTGCAGTCTTAAATAGCAGTATGTAAGCGGTATAGAGCTTGGCACAGACTAACAACCCTGGAGGAGGAGCTGGGCATGTATTGAGTAGGTGGTCTGCACTACTCACAGTTTGTACAGCTGAATTCTTACCAGGCTGAAGCAAACTAGTGGAAGGTGCTTTTGAGCATTTCTCAGTTAATCTACAGCAACTGTGTAGGTGGATGTTTAATCCACCAGTGGTCTGTATGCAAGGAAGCTGGGAGGTAACTTCTAAACTGGTGTCTATCTCATCTTTTAAGACAGCAGAGGTACAGTAAAGTTCTTCTGATGTGCTTTATGAACAAAGTCATTATTAATAAAATATTTATTGTATTGCCTCCTAAAGGTCAAAACTAGCTTAGAGTCATTATATATCATACAGATAGATAGGCCCTGCCCTGTGCGTGGGCCAAAGCACAAGCCAGATGGTTAAGATAAACAAGGAATGATGTCAGCTAGTATTAGCATCACCCAGACTAAGTGAAGGGGTATTTGTTGTATTTGCTTGGAGTGCTTGTCTAGAGTGATTTATTTTTCTACATGGAAAGCCTTGTTACTTCTTTCAAAGAAATACGTGTAGCACACAAACAAAGTACACTGAAGGGACCTAGGAAACTGAAGCTAGTCTCATATGATGCATATGAATTGTATGAATTCATGTGACATTGAATAGAGGAAACATTTCAAAACTGAATATTTTTATAGCATATATAATTTAGAAGGCAGGGACTTCATAGTTGCACAAGAATGCTGAATTCATGAATAGTGCTGCATTTCAGTAGGACTTCAAATTCAAGAACCTTTTTCCTGTACTGAAAAAATGCAAGACCAAATCTTTTTCCATCTACTGTGGTTATGCTTGAAGGAATAAATACTCTCAGAGGTCACATCATTCAAGTCAAAGATGATGTAATTAGGAATGTAGTTCAGTTTTTCTCAGGAAATATCAATGGATGTGGTCAGATAGTGGAGTTTGCATTATGTAGAGGTACAAGGATATTTTTGCAGCAAAAAGGATGATTGCTCTGTTGGTTTTGTTGTTTGATGCATGTAGTTGTGAAAGAAATACAAATGTGAGTGACAGAAGAAATTCAAAATGCTTCAGATAATAGTTACTGAAATAGGCAAACAGAAGAAATTTTGAGACATAAATTTTAAATGCCCTGGAATTCTTTTCATTTGCTATGATGATGTGAATTAATTCTGAAAAATACTATGTCATAATTGGCAGTTTTCTTACCAGCTCTTGAATTATTCTGAAATTTATTTAGTTCTGTTCTGCAAGATAAATAAATGTATTGATACATAGTGTGTAGACTTTTCCCCTCCCATTGTTTTGGATGTGGCTAAATATTTTTGTATGCCACTACTAACAAGAAAATTACTTAGTTGTGTATTCAGAAAAATAATCTTGTAACTTGCTTAAGCAATATTACTGCTCTACTCTTGCAATATTATACTAAAACTAGATAAAACTAGTTAACTGTTTTTTTAACTTAACTGAAACGTTCATTCCTGGCTTAAACCACACTTCAGTGTTGCAACTTTTACAACCAACTCAAGAGTATCTTGTTTAGATGTGAATTCACATGTATTCTACAAAGACACCTCTTCTGGTACCAGTAAAAGGGGTATCTGTAGCTCGGTGCAGTGGTCTGTGAAATCAGGTGGGAAGGAAGTGAGGCAGCACATCTGGAGTAGGCCTTGTTCAGCAGCAGCACAGTGCTCTCTGTTCTGTCAATAAGATCAAAAGTCCTGTGTCTTCCAAGTACGCTCCATTCTCAAAGGCATCTTTTCCCATTTTGCCTAAAATAACTGCCTCACTTGATAGGGGTTTTTTTGCCTGTGTTTTTGAGAAAACTGCTTATATCCATTTTCATTACTAAGGATTCATGGATGCTGTTATGGAAGTCACTTCATAAATTTGATCAGGAAGGTGGAGGATTATATAGAGAGAAACCTTTTGGTATGTTTGTTAGGTCTGTTCATAAAATGCGGTATCGCTGTAGTAATAAGCTTCAGTTCAGGGGAATCTCATAAATCAGAACAATACTTCAGCATGGATTCTTAATCATCTGGAAGAGAGCTGCATTGGAAATTTTAAAAATAGAGACATCTCCTTGAAGCAAGGATTAGGAATGTGCTTGAACCACCTGAGCCATTTTTCATGGAATATCAGCCTTTTTATCTCAGCTTCTTGGCAGACTGCTACACTGTCTGAGTGGTGATGATGTCTACTTTCCTGTTTGCTGCTTTGTTGTGTTTCTAACTGAATGCCTCTCTCTTTTTAATTTCTGTGGCAGCATCTCTTGCACCTCCTCCCCCCTCCATCCTACAGGTAACTCCACAGTTACCGCTAATGGGATTTGTGGCCAGAGTTCAAGAAAATAGTAAGTTTGCTGCTTCCTTGTGCTATGATTTATTACCAGATGTGGCTTTTGTTTTGAGTGGTTGAAAGATTTGTCTATATATAGCTGTAATTCTGCCTTCTCTACTGCCTCTGCAAGTTTGTCTGAAACTGTGAAGAGAAGGAAAAGGAAATAATTTTGTTGGAGGAACTTGGACTGTGTTGTCTCTATTGTGTTTCCATAAGCTCTGTTAGTCCCAGTGGAACTAATTGGGATAGGGAGTATTAGTTCAGCTTGCTCCCGTGGTTCTAGAGGCATTTTCATGGCTATTCTGTTGCTTATTTTCAGTTTCAGATACTCCTCCCCCGCCACCGCCTGTGGATGAGCCAGTGTTTGATGAGTCTCCACCTCCACCCCCACCTCCAGAAGATTATGAGGAAGAGGAAGCAGCTGTGGTGGAGTACAGTGATCCGTATGCTGAGGAGGACCCTCCGTGGGCACCAAGGACCTACTTAGAAAAGGGTAGGTTAAGAGCTAGTAGAGATGGTAGGGTCATGTTTGTAACAATGTTTTGTATAAGCTTCTTCCACCCTCTTTGGTTCCTAGCCAGCATTTGGCATTGTGGTAGAGGTGCTCCTCCAAATGGCAATTTGAAGAACAAAAGCGAAGTTTCTCTTTTGAGTTTGGTGCTTTCTCCACAAAGGGAAGATAATGATTAGCCAGCTAATTACATATTTTTTAAATCCTCTGTAATCTATTTAAGACTCACCTTTCAGGAGTCTGCTTGATCCTAGTCATCAAACTTATATAAGGTCAGAGATGAATGAACTAGTGCTGCAACTGCACTTGTATTTTAAACCTAGGAGTGCATCTGAGGAAGTGCTGCACAGCGTGTGGTTGGTGCTCTGGAAGCTGCAGTGTTGCATCCGTGTGGGGCCGTGCTGAGCTAGAAAGAACTAGTTCTGTTAGGACTGACTAACTGAGGCATTGCTGCCTGGCTGCATCTGGTAGTCTTCCAGTTCTGAACTAGTTCTGTGGACACATGCTAGAGTAGAACTACATACAGTAAACTGAGTAAATGGCTTAGGGGCACTTGAATATGAAAAAAATCCGCTTCCTGGTGTTCTCCTGTGAAACAGGGTCATGTATGTCTTAGGAAGGGTGATATAAAATCTGTTGTTGCAAAGCAATCAGGCGTCTCAGCTGAGTGTTAGACACATTCAGCCTAATATCAGGGAGAAAAAAAAATCAAGAATGCCATGAAGATAAACTCAGTGCAGGGCTTGAGAGCAGGAAAAACCAAAAGCAGAGGCACTTTCTGCCAACTTCATCCCAGAGAAGATATTACTATTCCTGAAGGAGATGGAGGAGTATGTGGCAGTTTTTTTGTTACTCCCCTATCCTGTCTACCTGGTGTATTTAGTGCAAGAAGCACCCAGGCGTTGCTGACAAACAGACCATATGTCAGACTTAAGTTGCTGACTTGCAGGGTGTTTGCATGACTCGCTTTATCTATTGACCTTTCCACACCCCTAACTGACAACATCACTATTCTGTTGATGCACACAGGCTCTTTGATTACGAGTTGCTTCGCTTATTCTTGTCAGGGAAGCTTATTTCTATGAGGGAGAATGGGAAAGAAAGGGTTCTTGTATACAAAATACTCTCTTGCTGCGCATTTTGGAGGGTATTCCTGATTATTGGTATTAGTTACTTGGCTTCACAAAATCAAGCTTTGTAGTGGGATAGGGTTCCTGATGTTACATGTCTTTGTTTGGGGGAGGATGTAAAATTTCTTCGGGTTGGGACCAGTACAGGCCCTTTCAGCAAATACTGAATGTGCTATGTTATTTAATCGTAGAATCATAGAATGTCTTAGGTTGGAAGGGACCTTAGAGATCATCTAATCTAACCTCCCTCCTAGTGAGGGAGTTCTGTAAACGCACAATATCTTCTCAATTTCATTGTGGTATTATCACAGAATCACAGAATGTTAGGGACT